ATAATGCAAATATATTATGTTTATTGTCTGGGCCCCTGTTCTCAAGTTTATAGATTATTGGGGTGTCCCATATCACATGTCTCCTTTATGTCTTATGATTGATATATTTTTTTTGTAACTGTTTAAAAAACGATGTGATTCCTTTACTCACATTTTGATATTGTTTTCAATTAGCCTGTAGAGAGCTACAGCATAATTGCCTTTGGTTTGGTGTGCAACCCTAAGATTCAAATGCAACGTTTTTGTGGGCGCCACGGGGCATAGAGGAGGAAAGGTAAGGAAACATCCAGGTAAACTTTGATCTGAGCATTCAGGGTCAGAAGCTGAGGGCGTGGTGGATTCAAGTGACCTGGAAACATCTGTAACACACAGATGAAGATTGGAAAAAACGTTCATGTCTTGTTTTAACACCACGGAGCAAAACAAAACACACAATTACTTTCACAGCTGATTTCTGAGCTCAAATGACACATTCTTGGATTTGTCCGGTGTCCGGCGTGATTGATCGTCGCTGTCACGGAAACTGTTTGAATTCCTGAAATAGCCCGCCGCTTACATGTTCCTGAAGTTTCCCAGGCTGCATGCTCCCAAGATGGAGTCTGTTCAGAGCAATTTACAGCTCCTTCCTCCAACTTTCTGCTCCATTGTCTCATTGAATCTCCATAGCAGGAGGATTTATGAAAATTATGGAGATTTAGACCCCATTGTATCGTCATTATTGCATAGACCGTCGATCTCTGCCTCCAAATGCAATACAGTTTGCATACAATTTCAGACTTTGCATTTTAAGATACATTTCATGATGAATTTGGGTTGTGTGCGTTGACAGGGGAAAATATTTATCAGAATCATAACAAAAAGGCCTCAACACACGTCTAACTTCATCATCATTTTGTTATTATCTCACAAACCCAGAAGCTTGTGAATACGCAGGAGAGGACGTCTACATCTCAGCTGAACAATTACGATTCAGCAGAGCCTGAAATTGCTTATTATATATATTTTATAATAGCTGCCTATAAAAAAATGGCTGAAAGATAGTCACATAAAGGAGAGAAGTTGGCCTTGTTAGTGGGATAAAAACCTTAATTTGACGCAGGGTGAGAGCGGCCGTACATCTGAGAGACTAATGGTGTCAGTGGAGTTTGTGTTCTGCACACATCTGCTGCTGGCATGTGATTTGAGCTGAGGCCTTATAATTAAAAGGGGTCTGTATGACATTGCCAAGCTCGGGGGATAACAAAGACACCAAAATCGAGTAAGACTCCCGTTGTTTTCTCTGCGCTCTCATTATACAAAATCTTTCAACCCTGAAACATTGACGAGAATAGTTTTGGTGCTCCTGAATCATCACAGAGCGCTGAATGCTTGAAAACAAAGTGTTTGGAAAAAAGGAGTCAATAATCTCATTAAAATCTTCATAATAACAAACCTTTTATCCTTGAGTACAAGTTGTAGATTTGCAGCTTGTTTCTCTGATTGCTTAGGAAATAAAAAGCAACACCAAATAGTCTTTTATATCTGTATTCTTGTGCTAAATACTTACAAAAAAAACAAAACATCATTCAATTTGGCTTTTACAAAATGCATTTTTTTTTTTTTATTTATCAGCTTTGAGATGATGCCACCTCGGAGCTGAGAGGGAGGAAAAGACAAACACAAGCCAAAATGAATGACAGGAACATAACCAAAATAGCTGTCAGAGTATTTCACAGTGTAAATAAATCTATCATATACACAGTGCCTGCTTGTATTTACACGAGTATGAACATACAAAATATACACAATCTGTGTTTCCAAAACACAGGAGATTAATAGCGTGTCTTACAGTGTGACAAATCACCGTTATAAAGAGAAAAGATGAATTTCATACTAAAATAAATACACTTCTTTAAAATTAGCAGTGAAACCTACTCTTCACGATGAATAGCATGAGGATTGATTGTCTCTCTGTTCCTTTCTTGTACCTCAACAGTCATTAAAACATTATATTGCAACAGGTCCAGATGTCTTGGGGATTTTCTTAAGTGACGCTACATTTTAAGACTCACTTTTTTCTGTTGGTTAAAATGATTCTTTACAGCTACAGAAGTTAAGAGCTTCATTAATTGTATAACCTAATTACACTAATGTCATGTGTCTATTTATCTGGTTAAATCGTCTTTTATTCTGTCTCGATAGCAGAGGTGGGAAGTAACTAGAGTAGATTTACTCAAGTGCTGTACTTAGGTAACATTTTGAGGTACTTTACTTGAATATTACCATGTTTTGCTACTTAGTTCTTCTACTCCACTACATTTCAGAGGTAAATCATTTACTTTTTTGGATTAATGATTTGAAATATAGTCAACCCTTAAATAAGATTTAATAAGCTACCCTGCAGTATACAAAGTCATTCAAACTAGCTACACTTTTACCAGCTTTGATAACACTTGAATGCATCATTAATCAAAACATATCATAATATATTATTTTGAAATGGGCTAATCTGCATAATGAATACTTTTACTTTTGGCACTTTAAGTATTTGTTGATGCTGATACTTTTGTACTTTTACTTGAGTAACATTTTCAATGGAGGACTTTTCCTTGTAACGGAGTATTCCTACACTCTGGTAATTTTACCCCACTACAAGATCTGAGTGCTTCTCCCACCTCTGTTTAATAATAACTCTAAGCCAATTATTACAAGGTGCCTTTACTTACATTCTGTAACTTCAGAGCCTTACTCCGTGTGACTAAATGTGCAAATGTTGTTTCAGCTTCACATTACAGGTCCATGGTAAAATACATTTGGATGGAAAAAAAGAAGAGGCAGAGCCAGAAATGGACCCTATTACAAATTAGTTTATGGTGACTTCATAACTGAACTTGCACATTTAGAGATAGATTGGAACGGACTACCGAATAGAGTGATTTTTAAAATGGTTAATGATTTCAAATATGGTGGTTATATAACATACAAAAACCTAACATCTGATGAAGGTAGTGAAGTCTTGAAATTAATCAAATGTAAGCAGCTTTGTGAGAGCATGAGAGACGTGAGGTGGCTAATCTCGGTCAACAGACTTGCGGTCAGGGCTGTGGTCTCATGGAGCTGCTATGTGAAATCTAAAACATGTCCGATACAGTTTGTTACGCAACATTTTGCAAATATAAATAAAAAAATGTTTCAAATACATTTGAACCTTCTAATATCTCACACATTTTGTTATTCCAGTTGCCACTGAGCTTGACGAAATCCATCACAAAATCAACAAACATTAAACAGATAATAACCCATACAAGCATCCATTTAGCATTGATAGAACCAAACATGTGACTTCAGAAAACTCTTCTATGTGTTGCGATTGTTTTCTTTGTGATTTTGGGGGTATTTGTCAACAAACCCCATGAAATGACAAAAATCAATAATGGAGTCTCACTGTCTCCTCCAGGCCTGATTCAGCTCCTTCCTTTGGGCTGTAGAGCTCCATTGTTGTCCCCAAAATGATTTAAAATCACATCTATCAGCAGCACAGGTGCACTCAGTGATATGTTGCTGTGTCACTATGAGCATGGGCACTGCAGTTCATTTGGTGTCAATCATGTTTAATGTCCTGCGGCTGTACATTCTCACTAGAGCACCAACAGTGGGAGAATAGTCCAGGGAAAATGCACTTTTTACATCTGTATGAGTAACATTAGCAAGATATTAAACTGCCCATCCATTCAAAACATTACTTGGCTTTAAAAACACATTTCTGTAAGTTTTAAAGATTGAAGTCTCATTGAGAATGAATGGATAGAGGCAGTAAGGTTAGGGGAGTTGTTAAGTTTGACAGACAGTTGGTTTTGTCTTCTTAAGAGGCTTGCGGTCAATAACAGAAATACAGATAATCACTAGCCATATCCATACAACATTGTCTTTAACAAGTATTTTACTCCTTGGACCTTTTTCCCCCATCTGAATAAGTAGGCGGAAACGTTTTCCCTTTATGAATTTAAATGTCGGCAATTATTTATTCAGTTTAGAATCTCAATGATCTACTCAATGACTTGTATCAATAAATGCCAGAGACACTGCATCTATCCAAGTTCTATAAGTTGGTGAATACTGATCAACTCAGTGTGGTCCTTCGTTTATACTCTCAATTTTCCTTCTCCAAAAAGCCTGGCACAGTTAAGACAAAGCAACAATAAATTGAGAATATGAATGTAAAAATATTGAGGGCAAAGAGTACATAATTCATGTTTGCACAATTGTGAACATGCCTTTAAGATGTGGATTTGTTGACTGTTCATACAGTATGGATGTGATCTTCTTTTCATCTTTAGTGAACCTTTCCTTTGCCCCGGGTGCTCTTTAATACACAATGCTACAAAGTTCATGAATAAATATGCAATATAACTTTTTGAAAACAAGAAAAGGAGATTGATTAAAGGCATCGTGAGCAAAAAGGATGATTGTAAAGTAAAACAACAAGTGAGTCAAATAGGACACATTGCAGAAAAGTCAGAATAATTCATGACATACTCAAACGCAGTGAAACAACTCTTGCGGCGGTTCGACCTCAAAATAAAGTTTTTTAATCGTAAACTTTTTTGTGCATTAAAACGTATTTTTTCTTCGCCCTGTGATGTTCAGCATCGGCACAAAAACAGCAACTGCCAAAACAACGAAGCAGTTTGGAGTGCAGCATCACAGGGCACACACTTAGCACGCACGTAGGAATTGGAAAGAATAAAATATTAATAAAAAACTCAAATAAACGCTTTTTTTTTTCAAGTGAAACATGGTGAACATACATTATGTACACAATTCCAGAGCTTTAAGCACGGAGGGTATTTTGAAATTTGACCTCCATCATGGCACATACGATCAGGTTTGTGAAGTTTGTGTGTGTGTGTGTGTGTGTGTGTGTGTGTGTGTGTGTGTGTGTGTGTGTGTGTGTGTGTGTGTGTGTGTGTGTGTGTGTGTGTGTGTGTGTGTGTTTGTCTTTAGCTTAAGAGTACCACCATCTTTGCTCAGCTGGACATGGTACACCCCTTCGTAGCTGTGACCAACTTTCAGTACCCTTTGGTATCGGTGAGATTAGGAAGGATACTACTTTACCTTAAAAATCTTCATGACACCCCTTCCCTTCCATTGTTTGTATTGACAACCATTGTTCTGTCCAACAACAGCAAGTCATGTGGCAACATCTGGTGAGGATACTCGGGGAGAAGTTATACGCAGATCCTCCATCATCAAACATACTGTTCAGCTCTACCTCTACTGTCAACAACTCTCACATTCGGCGCCATCGTCTCAAACTGAAATCTTCCTCTCCTTCTTCACAGTCACAGTTATTTCTGTCTCGAACACCAGCACAAGTTTGGGTCACAGTTTTAGCAGCTTTAGGAAGTGACACAAAAAAGCAGCTGTCATGCCACAAGTTCTTGACATCAAAAGTTCTCAGAAAGCAGCCGCAACAGCAATGTAGAGTAAAATGAAGTGTCAGCACGGTAGCTCCTCCGTCTCCATCCCAGTGAGCTCGGATCAATGTCCTGGGCTGAACAAACCAGCGTCAGCCTGTGAGCTTTTAATCACTGAGAAATGGCACATGGGGTTTTCCTTTCTTTCTTTCTCTCTGTTGCTCGGTTCTTCGGTTGTTTCCACTACTTTGCTCTCTTTCCTCCAGCGTGGCTCAAGCGTACGTCTCTCCTGATTTGAGCGCCACCAGCTCAGAGTCCTCGGTGCTGCGCCCGTTCAAGTTTTCGCTGTTGGAGTCGTGGTGGTACATGAAGGCGGGCACCTCGGTGATGGAGGTGGCCGTGTAGGAGGTGGAGCGCATGGAGCAGTGGTCCTTCCTCCTCTGACCCCACTGCGTTTTATACTGCATCCACTGCCTCTTCAGAGCCGCCTGCACCTGAAGAACACACACACACACACACACACACACACACACACACACACACACACACACACATACCATGTAAACATCACTTCAGGGGACATTACATTGACTTACATGCATTTCCTGGAGACTTATCCTAACCTTAACCATAACCAACACATGCCTAACCCTAACCCTTACCCTTAACCTTACCCTAACCCTAATCCTAAACCTAACCAAGTCTTCACCCTAAAATTAATGATTCCCCTCATGGGGACCTCCAATTTGTCCCCATAAGGGAAGCGAGTCCCCACACGTGACTGTGTAAACAGATTTAGGTCCCCACAAGTATAGTAATGCCAGGCCACACACACACACACACACACACACACACACAGCACCGAGATGCTTTATTATTATGGTCTGCATCTTCGTTTGTTGTCTGCCAATGGGAAACATTTTCGTTTTTTTTCATTTCATCACTATTAAGTGCATTTTTTTTTTATTATTTGATTATGCAAATAATGTTAAAAAAATATCAATCCCTCTTATATAGTGCAGTAAATGATATCACAGGTGAAATATCAGCCAATATATATATTTTCCCAAACCGTGCAACCCTAATCTCTATCATAACCCTTTCATAACCTTTTGTTTTAGCATTTTGAGTGTTTTGAGATGTCAAAGTTACTAATCAGAAACATTTCTCTAGAGTTGTATTCTCCTGTTTTGCTTCTCTGATCTCCTTTGACCACAAAATGATTCCAGCAGATGAATGAACATGCAGATCAGAAGGCGGTATCGAAGCAGAGCCCATGTAAACATCATCTTGTGACAACGTTAATCCGTCCACAGTGATCTTAACTGATGCGGGGATAATTGCTGCAGCATATGTGGATCACTCAGATTTCAATCAAGTTAACAGATGCCAGTTATTAGGAAATGTAAACACGCTGAAGTCACATAACCTGGAACGAGGCCAATTGTGCACTCGGCCAGATCATCATGTTATTAAAAGGGAAAAAAGATGCAATCAATAAAAAGATTTAATCATGAAATTAAGGAAAAACGACATAGTGTAATAACTGTTAGTCAAATTGTCAATTACTTTTCATTTGACTGTTGCCAAACAATTACATTATAATGAATATGCATTTCATTTAGCATTTATTAAGGATAATTAAAGTGTTACAGTAATTAATTGCCTTTTCTCTCCTACAGCTGTCAAAGCCACAGCCATTGAAAAGTAACAAGACAAATATTTGCATTTTTATCGGCAACATTCAAATGAACCAACAAAATGTGAGATATTTGCCTTGGCTTATTTGATTTTTCAGAAAATAAGGGAATATCTTAAAAGCAGGACACTTCTACTTCTCTACTTCTTTATCCTGTGTAAGACAGTTACCCTTTCAGAAGATTAGTAAACTTCAGAGAGATAACAACAAACTTAAACTCTTCACCCTGCAGATCCTAAATGCCTGAGAGGACTTGATGTTCCAGTTTTTACACTCCCTCCCTTGGTTCGCCTACCTTTGCCAATAGAGATGAACAAAAGAAAAGCAAACTCCTCTTGGCTACCTGCTGAGAATTCAGTAACTACAGAAATGCCAAAGATTACATTATTCTAATTTATGACACATGGCCTCCTTTCTCATATCAATTTGACACACCTACGTCTATGAGCAGAAACCTTTCATAGTTTTCAGAGAGAAATGCAATAAACAGCATCTTTGTAGTGGTGACATCTTCATAACCCTAACCTGGGTTGAAATGACTTTTTATGGTAATATGCACCACTAAAGCACATTTCAAAACTGAATAGAGAAAGGCCATGAGTCCTTTTCAATCTCCTGTTCCTTTAATAAAGATTGGCATGCGTAAAACATTTTAACAAAATTATCACAAACTACAAAAAACTCAGAACAGGGGAATATTCCTCTGTCCTAGGTTAGGATAGCAAAAACATAGTGGTATATTTCTGGATAGTAGGTGTGTGTGTGTGTGTGTGTGTGTGTGTGTGTGTGTGTGTGTGTGTGTGTGTGTGTGTGTGTGTGTGTGTGTCAATTAGGACTACTAACTACTTTTTTAATCAGGGAGCTCAAGCAGGTTAATTAGGGCCTGCAAGATAGTATGTTGTTGTTGGATGGATATGGGGCTTGTTTTAATAGTTTTTTAATGTGTTGTTTGTTTTGTTTTTTCAATAAAAAGTCATTAAATCCCAGATACACAAAATCCTAAGGGATTTTAGACAAAGTAAAGAGGTACATCTTCATATTTGAACAGCTGTAACCACTGTATGTTCGACATTCTTGATCAACAATGAATTTACTATAAAGTTTAGTTTTGTTAATTTGTTGTTGAACAACCAATCAATTCATCACACTGTTCATATTCAGTGATAAAGAACAGTGTTCAAGTTCCTAAAAGCACAAGTCACACCTACCATCCTACAGCAGAGTATTTTTGAACATTTTCCTTTGCAACGCCCACATAATGTAATTACTGTGGGTATGTTAATGATCTAATGATGTCAATTATGAAAGTAATTGTTGTAATGAGACAAAAGAGCAGCCTGGGCTTACAGCTCCGTGTAGAGCGTCTTGCTTGCTGTCACAGAAACAGCATAAAAGCTGTTTGTCTCACTGACCTGGTATCACAATGAGGCCTTTGACGAAACAAGGCAGGTCTGTGCAGTTTGGCCTCTAATTCAAAGAACAGAATTGAATCCGGCCCCAGAAACCCGTGTCCTGATTAAGCGAGCTGAATTGGTCATTATGTGCCTGAATAATTCAAACCCTTTCAGTCCATTGTGGTGGTTAGTGTTAGCTGACCCCACATCCCCCTGAAAGTCTACTCGTCCTTTATACAGTAAAAGCGCTCCACGCCTTGTTTATACCGCATACTGTACATTGTTTACCAAGGCGCCGCTGCGGTCTGGCTGCTCAAGCACGAGCTAATAAACATGTCCTATATTCCGATCTGAACAATAGATCGCTCATATTTTTCTTCTCATGCGGAAAATACCTTTAACAACCTTGTTGTTATGGATAATGGAGAATTTCACTTGTTGTTTTAACTACTGTACAAAGAAATAGTGTAAACTGTCTGTGGTGTTCAGCAAGTGGAAACCAAGCCACGCCAGTTTGAAAAACTGCAGTTCCTAGAACGACCACTTGAGGCTGCGTAGACCCCAGTGTTGAAATATCCAACTTTACCCCACAAATAAACATGTTTACAGCATGGTACTGACTTAATAGTAGTAGTAATAGTCATGTAGTAGTAATATGCAAATTAATTAGAAAGAGAACACAATGCTAAAATACTAAAAGCCTAAAAAAAAAGAGGTGTGTCCTACTTGTGTCTCTGGGTCACATGGCATGGAGCTATTAATAAAATGTGCGACTTAAAAGAACTCAAGAAAAAAGAAAAATAGAAAAACATAAAAAGGTTATAGTAAGAACAGGTGCGTCCTATTTGACTTTGGTTTGACACCAACGTGGAGGCCACTGACAAAGTGTGCTCCTTGAGAGCTTAGAAGCATCTTTATAAAATGAACCTTTGGAGACAAAAGGTCTTAAAAAAACACCATTAACCCCAGATCTGAGTTTACTGGAAACCCAGCGAAACGTAGGGATGCTCGCAGTTAGACAGCTGCTGACAGACTTAAAAAGGCTGACAGGAGGACTTGAAAAGAGAGTCAATTTCCAGCTGGGCTTGGAAACCACACAGTCATTTATAAACTGTGTCTTACTCTTCACCTGACATGACCCTTCAGCTTTCACTGGCGCGGCACTAGATTGGTCCCAGAAGAGAAAGGCAACCCAATGCTTTATAACCTGTTGCAATTGGACTAATGACAGATGTAGCATCCATGCACAGCTACAACAACTTCACCATTCAATGCCAAAACCCAGCTTTGAAGTCTGTGTCTGGGTCACTTATCGATATGCTGACATCTGGCCTGGAAAAACAAATGTTTTGCCTGATGGAGTCTGATGTCTCGTACTTAATGTCATAAGCAATAAGCAGGTGTACTGCTCAAAGTAGAACAGATCGCCGTCATATGCAGGTTGACATTTATAAAAAAGCAATTGCTAAACCAAAAATACGGTGTTATTTGACCACACATGAAACTAAATATTTTCCAGGATTAAATATTATTAAAGGTTTAACATATTGAGAATTAAAATGTATTCTAAGTATTTATGGGAGGCTTAGTTTTTCTCCTGTTTTTGACCTAAGCTAAAAACACACAGCAAATGTAAACACAATTACACAAATGTCAAACCCTTTTTTTTTACTTTACACATTTTGTAGCAGCAACTGCAGCAGCACATTGTAGGGAAAACAAACTTAATAAGAGTGCTTACCTCTCCATTGAAGAAGCAGAATATTGTTGCCACCAGTAATCCCTTCAAAGGAAACAAGTACACATAATTAGCACTGTATTTTTTTCTTAACGCAAATGTAATCAGAAAGAAAAGTCCACAGTTAAGCAATGCAGTCCTTGTCCTTGTGCAGTCCTAAGTGAATCAACTGACTGCCAACCAGGGGATTTCATGACTTGTCTTCCTGTTGTTTAATCAAGTGCCAAACCGGTAGTTAAACAAAGGTAATGGAGTGTCTAACTGGTTATTTAAACTGCAATTCAGCAGTGATTGAATCACATCGATCAAACGCAACAACGAGGCAGAAAACAGGTTTTTTATTCGTGGAAACTTTCGAGCGCGCCAAACGTCTAAATCTCGCGTCTGACAGGACCCGGAGGTGGGCTGCATTCAGGAACATTTCTGCTCGCATACTGATGCTGATATGTTTCTTTCCTGTATTATTGATTGGATTATTTCCAGATGAGCAAAATACCTCAATCCACAAGGGCAGTGAAGCAGATTTATATTAGCTTTTCCCTTTTTTCTTTCAGATTATTGCAGTATTTACCTGATAGTGCATGAGTATGTGCATGATGTACTCGTAGACCTCCCCAGCCAGGCGGTTCTCCGGCCTCCAGGGGAAAATGACAAACTGTATTCCCAGCAGGGGCACCAGGATCAGGGTGGCTCTCACGGCCTTCATGTACATGTTGGACTCCGCCCGGTGGGTGTCTCTCAACTTGGTCACCAGCACTCTTATAATATTTAGTAAGAAGAAGAGATTCACCTGCAAAGAAGTATCCAAATCATGAAAAACTTAAATATCAGCCATGTGTTTTAATCTTTTATGATTTAAAGGTCCCATATTATACTGTTTTCATCAATAGGCCTATATAGATCTCAGTTATATACAAAACATGTCTCTGAAGTGTTTGGCTCCAAACACCAAACAGATCATTGTAGCATCCCATAACCCCCTCTGTTTCAGCTCTGTTTCAAAAGTGCTGATTCTCTGTCTGTTACTTCAGGTGCTGCTCACACGGGAACGTTTGCGTTTAATGCACAGTATGCGTTTTCAAAAAAGTCTTCCGTTCACACGTATTCGTTTCATTTGACGTGTCTGTTCACACGAGAACGCTGGAAACGCTGTAGTACATATGCCGGGACTGTAAGTGGCGCTGTACTTCCACACGAGGCCGCTCAAAGGGCTGGACACGCTGTAGTACATATGCCGGGCCTGTAACTGGCGCTGTAACTTCCGCCACAAAATACACCAAAAGCAGCGAGTATAAGAGGCGGGGAGAGGTGGGGCTAGGTGGGGCTATCGTTATTTTTTCAGGATGATCGTATAGAGGCGATTACACAGACTCGTTTGACCCCCAGAGCGTTTCGTTTGCAAATCCATCCACCTTGGGACCCGTTATCATTTGTGGGGTCCGTTTCTATCGTTTTGTTACGGCCTCGTGTAAATGAAAGGGCTATACGTAAGAGAAACTATGCGGATACAACCCGTTTTGTTCTCGTGTAAACGGGGTCTTAGATGAAAATAAGGAGCCACTCCCCACGCACCTCTGAGAGATATTTGGTTAAAAAGAACTCAATGGTGCTCTAGGAGGAGATTCAGGTGGTGTTTACACGATAACGCAAACGGTTGTATCCGCAACTTTTCTCTTTCGCTTAGCCCGTTCGTTCACACGAGGCCGTAACGGAAACGCGGAAACGGACCCCGCAAACGATAACGGGTCCCGCGGTGGATAGATCTGCAACCGGAACGCTCTGGGGTTCCAAACGGCTCCGTGTGTACGTCCTATACTATAATTTTCCTGATAACCATGAGCCACAGCCCCACCTCTGCTGCTCACTGCTGTAGCATGGTCAGTAGCTACTGACCATGCTACAGATGTTAGTGCAAAATCTACAGCTGCTCTACCACAACCATCAGCAACAAGTGGAATTACATGAACTACATATTGCTAAATCCACCGCGGGGCATAAACAGAAGGGCAACCATGGAAACCATGCTCGGGGGTCTTCTTTGCTGCTCTTGGTGTATTTTGTGGCGGAAGCTACTACGACACTTACAGGCCCGGCATATGATCAGCTCATTTTCAGACAGGTTTTTATATAAATGGATCAGGACAAAAAGTGAGCGAATCATTTTTCCTGAAACTTTCCGAATCTCTCTACACAGATGAGACACATGTTTATTTATAAAAGACATGAACAAGTGAATTTTGCATAATAGGTGACCTTTAACAACTGAACATCCTAGAAAAATAACAAACTAATATTCATATTGCTCACTCTGTGAACTGTGATATTGTGCGTAAACAGCAGATTATCAGACTTACGAGAAGCGCTGCCACGATAGGACCATGGACGGCGTAGAGCAGATGGGTTTCCACACTCATCCAACAGCTAGAAGGAAAAACACATCCGTCAGTGCTGTCTGCGGCCCAAAATACACATACACACACACATACAAAAACATGCACGTGTGAGGATCTGCACGCTCCCGAATCTCCGCCGCACACGGACGAGCACGTATGTAAACATCTCCTGTTTATTTGCAGAAGTCTTGGAACATTACTCACTTGTCGTCAAAATACTTTTTCCTCGCCACGGCGTGGATGGATGCAGGCACTAGAGGAAAGCCTTGGACGGGAGAAAGATGGCAGCCATATGAGGTCTTGAGTGACTTTAGGGAAATTCATTTGTCATTTTTGCGACAGTAAAAACGAAATGGGGTTAGCTTGTTTTTCCTCAATACATAAATCAGTCTCTCACAGATATCATTGTATAAATGATTGGAAAGGCTGAAAGACAGTGAATTACTCCAACAGGAAAAACAACGCCACATGGTTAATTCCATGTTACAGTGTTGTGTAATAAGGGGCTCAGAGTAGCTTTTAATATTTCTGGATATAAACTCATGAAAACATGTGCAGCTATTTTCAGGCTCCATTGAGGTTCTGCGGCGTATCGGCCACAGATGGACCTGACTGACTATCCGCCTAACACAAACTCACACGCACTCTCTCAAGGTTATCCTTTTATTTTTAATGATGACCATCCTTTTAGTTCCATCGCCAACTTGTGACAGACTGCACACATTATTTCTGTTTGGAACAAGGTGAACAACAGGACAGCACTAAGCAACAGGAGGGCTAATAAAGCTGTCAGCCTACCAAGGTTGAAAGACTGTAGGACAGGGGTGGCCAACCAGTCAGAGGTTAAGAGCCACATTTTTTCTATGTTACTGCAAAGAGTCACATCAAACACACAGTCACTGATACCGCTTGTTTCAGTTTTTTATTTTCTGGAGACAAGATTTCAACCACGTCACTGATGCATTTTTGTGGCATTGGGATATTTTTTTTTTAATCCTCTGGAGCAGAGAGAGGAGCTGTGGATTATTGTTATTGATTAATGCATCAGTGTTTCTTAGGGTCAAAAACACTGAACTCACAACTTAAAATGAAAGCGTTTAGTTTATTTAATAAAAGAGCACATGTTCAATGTGAAAGGTGACAGTAGTTATAGATTATTTGCAATTTGGTGCTATATATATATTTTAATTTTTTTTTTTATATATAGGCTATATATTTTTTAAACACCTTGAATTTCAGGGGGGGCGCGGGGCTCTGTTGGCGCCCTCCAAGACAATGGTAGGGGAAACACTGGATAGTGTTTCATCAACGATAGGTTTTCCCCCCCTCAAAGGTGATTGGTTCTCTGCTATCCAGTGTTTCCCCTACCATTGTCTTGGAGGGCGCCAACAGAGCCCCNCAGCACGGTCTTTTCTGTGTTTTACTCGCTACAGGGTGTAATCTGAGGGTTTGTGACTCTGCAGACCGTTTACATGCATAAAAACCTTCATAACAGACAAGGGGACGGGTAATAACTGGAAAAGCATGACATGGGACCTTTAAGTTAAGCATGATAACCTGATGATAACATGCGAACATTAGCTAATAAGCACATAGCAATTTACAGCTGAAGCTAATGGGAATGTCATTGGTTTTTAACGAAGGCTCTTCAGTCATTAACCAAAAATATTGTATCTGATAATGGCACCACAGGTGAACTTATTGGAACACCAAAGATATGACAATAATTATGTCCACCAGCAAAACGGCTAGCACATTTTCAAAATAAAGCAGCCAATGATTACATTGTTTTTTAAGCTGGTGAATGATTTATAAATCTATGAACCACTTGCATATTTTATTGCAGCCAATATCTATTGTGCAATATTTGTCAATCTGGACGAAGTGGTGAATGTTCACCTAAAGAGCCAAATGCTAGCATTACAAAAAAAAGGAAATACCAGTTAGCAGAATTTGATTTATGGAGGAGGATTAGTTCCACTGTCTTGAAATGAGATTCAAATGCATTCACAATTTATGCTAAACCATATAAAAATTCAAAGAAGAATTTTCATGAACTTTTAAAAATGTATATTATGCAGGGCCAGGGGATCAAGGAAGCTACATTCAAATAGATTGCTCTATATTTTAAATATTTAAACATTTGTAGCGAGACTTTTAAGTACATCCTAATTAGTGCTCACTCTGCCGCATCTTGGCAGTATTATGGGCTTTTGCTCTCTTCCACATACTCCTACCCAGAGTTTTGGAGCCACACTGAATGCATTATGTGAATTCTTTGGACCCCGAGGTCTGCTTTGGTAGAAATGATAAATCTGTCTTGTTGGAATGCCTCACTATCAGGCCTGGGACATAAATTCATGTGTTACTTTTCAAGAAACACTCCTTTTGGAAATATAAATAAGGAAAACCTGCAAACTCTGTGATTGCTTTTTTCTTAACGGTTGTTATCGGAGGGTTTTTACAATCCCAAAAAAGGATCATATCTTACCTTTTATGTAGAACAGAATAGAATTTACCACATGCAGAAATAGCGAACAGGATTGTAGCAGTTGGCTCACCGTTCATACTACCCCATCAGATCCTAGCCAGTTTTCAGCTTGAGCGTATCTGGCCCGACAAAGTATCCGAAACAACGGCGGAGTCAGCGGAGGCCTGAGCCTGGTTTGGGTTTTATTTTCTGTCCTGCTGCTGCTCCTTTTTCATTCATTCACCAAATCTGTCTGGCTCATCCTGGCCGCCGTCTTTTATTCACATCCCATCTCTAACAGTATCCAAGGAGCAGCCAGGCATGAGAGCCATTATTATCAATGTCAAAAAATGTGTATTTTTGTGCGATGGATTGCTTTCAAAGCTCCACTCGCTATTTGTCAAGAAGCTTTGTGTCGAACCTGCTACTTTCCGACTTAGAACTGTCAAGTTGTGCTAACTCGCTGCAGCATGTCAGAACAAAAATGGTCACCGTGGCCCCGTTTCTCAAGAGGATGGAGAAAAATAAATCTCAAGCACCATTAGTTAGGCTTCATGCATGTCTTTTGGGAAACAATTCGGAATTTTCAGCTGCCAATATAAGAATGATGAGCCTCTGTTCTCTGCGCTGGCGATTTAGGAAAGGTGGATTGTGGTGGAGATTTGCTCTCACAGCGAATACAAGCTCTTTTAATTCTCTATAGCGTGGCGATACAGAGTCTGGTGTAGCCCGCCAGCAGTGTGGGGGAGTGAATCCCCAAAGCTTATGTCAAACCAGGGAGGAGCCTGAAAACAAGAGAAACATCTACATGATGTATAGCTGCTTGATTTGTAAACCAGAACATTGCCGGTAACTTTAGACATACCTTTAGCTGTAATGCAAAACAGTTGTGAGTAAAGGACAAGTGAGTTCAGCATACGAGATGTCTGCTATAGCCAAAGTTCCTCGAGTGGAAAGGGAAACGTAGGAAAGTGAGGGAGAGACATATGGCTAAAGGTTTAGGAGTGAATGATTGTTGTGTATTTTGAATAAGACCCCTGAGAGCAGATGTTAAAAGCAAAGCCAGCACCGTTGAGTTATACTGTGGCTGCACGCATGCTCTTTAAACACACCACAACGATCTTGAGAACCTGATTTCCTGTTTGTTTTTTGTTATGTTATTGTTCAAAGGTTTCTTCTGTCTTTCTTCTCCATAGGCAGTTTGTATTTCAGGGAAAACAAATTGTACTTGTTTTTTTTCAGAAAGCTATTATTCAAGATTACATGATACTTAAGTCACTCAAAAAATAACTATAGACACAGACAACCTAATTTAAATAAACTTAAAAACATATCAGAAAGCAGAATTGATTAGTCAGAAGAACAAAAAGTCCCTAACTTTGATTTGTTTTGTATTGTATTACAGTAGTAAGGCGCATAATGAATGAAACCACTATTCTCCCAGTACAGTCACCATTATGAGCTTTTAATTTAAATATATATTGAGATTACTTTGTTATGGATCTTCATTTCAAACACAAAACAAATATTGTAGAAGAAAACACAAATATATTGATACATTTTGCCTGCCAATAATGTGATCCCATAAGAAATGAATGAAATGGCACTGTGGAGATGGTGTCTTTTGGTGTAGTAGCAGTAGTAGCAGTATGTGCCACATGTTAAAGTGGATTTAAAGTATAGTATTTGTTTCTGTTTTGAAAGGAGAAACAAACCGCAACATATGAGAAATCTGTAACATTAAGCACAACTTTGTAGGTATCTGTTTGATTTAGATTACCACTTGCAGCCATCTTGGCTTTTATTGGAGCCACATGATCCAAAATGGGGAAGCCATCTGAGAAGAGATGAGCGAGCAGCCGCCAACCTTTGAGCAGTCCAAATATATGTCTCCTTAACAAATCTCCTAAGAATTGCAACTATAAGTCTAAAAGTTTCCTAGAGGTACACACGCAGAACTTGCTAGAAAAGTTTGGACTTTTTGAATAGACATGAGTACAGTTAGGTTCATTTGCACAAGTACAGCTTAAGGCACACCCACAGATATCTTGGTATTTATAGAAATAGCAATAATTATTATTATTCAATCAAAAGAATAGCGCAATAATGTTTGCACTTTGCACTTTGAAGAAATGTGCATAGTGCTTTATCAGTAACTACTATGTCTTTGCTGAACATGTCTCGCTTCCTTTTGCAATGTGAGACAACACAATCAAATAGCACTCGAAATACAAAGTACATTTCCATCTATGCTCACCTCCAGGGGGGGTAAATGAATAAACATCATCTCTGTCTGCAGAGGGTAATGATTTTGTGCCATGGGTGCCGCATGCACCTATGCACATTTCTGCAAAACATCCTCTTAGATACAAGCGGCCGAGATGGGTTTTCTCCGCAGGGTGGCTGGCGTCTCACTTAGGGATAAGGTGAGAAGTTCAGTCATCCGGGAGGGACTCGGAGTTGAACCGCTCCACCTTCGCGTCGAAAGGAGCCAGTTGAGGTGGTTCGGGCACCTAGTTAGGATGCCACCTGGGCGCCTCCCTAGGGAGGTGTTCCAGGCACGTCCAGCTGGGAAGAGACCAAGGGGTAGACCTAGAACCAGATGGAGGGATTATATCTCTTCGCTGGCCTGGGAGCGCCTTGTGATCCCCCAGTCAGAGCTGGTTGATGTGGCCAGGGAAAAGAAAGTTTGGGGCTCTCTGCTGGAACTGCTACCTCCGCGACCCGACCAGGGATAAGCGGGAGAAGATGGATGGATGGATCCTCTTAGATGTTTCTGTGTCCCGCTGAGAAGATGTCAGCAGTGTAAATCAACCTTTTTTTTTATCAAATACAAAAACAACTAACATGCTTCCCTGTTTGGGCTCTCTCTGCAGGTTGGCTGTAAGGTGCTGCACTTCTTCCACATGTACATGCTGGGCTGCAATTATTTCTGGATGCTTTGTGAAGGCATCTACCTGCACACTCTCATCGTGGTGGCTGTGTTTGCAGAGGAGCAGCATCTGCACTGGTACTACCTGCTCGGCTGGGGTGAGTCTAACATTTGATCAGAAGTCTGTTTTTTCTAGTTGTTTTATATGACACATATTTTTCTCATGCTTTCCTAACATGTCAATGAAACAAATCAGAAAGACAGAATCCAATCTATACGCTCCATTTTACCCGTATGCACCTGATCCTCCTACAGCAGGGGTGGCCAACCCGCGGCTCTCGAGCCGCATGCGGCTCTTTGCCTAGTTTCATGCGGCTCTTCAGTTCATATCGAGTTTTATATGTGTGAATTTGGGGGAGAGACACTGACTCCTGACTAGTGTTGCACGGTGTACCGATACTTGAAAGGTATACCGCGATACCCTGCCGTTAAAAACGTTACGATTCCTCCGTTTCATTAGTATGGTACTTTAAGAATGACGGGGGAAAATACTCCGGTTAGAATGCGCCGTTTTATTAAAGGCCCAGATACACCGGCCAGTCACCTGAGAAGTCGCCGACGCCGACACCGACTGTTGCGTCGCCGGACT